TCAATTCGAGTGCAAGGAAAGCCTTTCAACATCACAGTGATCCAAATATACGCCCCAACCACAGCTGCTGAAGAAGCAGAAGTACATCAGTTCTATGAGGATCTGCAGGACCTACTGGATAATACACCAAAAAGAGACATTATTTTCATTACAGGAGACTGGAATGCCAAGGTGGGAAGTCAAATGACAACTGGGCATCACAGGCAAGCATGGTCTGGGAGAACAAAATGAAGCGGGACGCAGGCTGATAGAATTTTGCCAGGAAAACTCGCTGTGTATAACGAATACTCTCTTCCAACAACCTAAAAGACGGCTTTATACATGGACTTCACCAGATGGTCAGCACTGAAATCTGATTGACTACATCCTTTGCAGCCAAAGGTGGCGGACATCCATCCAGTCAGTGAAAACAAGACCTGGGGCTGACTGTAGACAATTATGCTGGGGAAAGTGGAAGGCAAAAGGAAGAGGGGCCGACCAAGGGCAAGATGGATGGATGGCATCCTTGAAGTGACTGGACTGACCTTGAAGGAGTTGGGGTGGTGACGGCCGACAGGGAGCTCTGGCGTGGACTGGTCCATGAGGTCACGAAGAGTCGGAGACGACTGAACGAATGAACAACAACAACAATCTCAGTTTTGTAACAAAAACTATTATCAATACCAGTTTTAATTTTAAAGAATAGCACCACATACTTTTAAATATCTTCTTTGAGAAAATTCCTATAGATTATATGAACACCTACATTTGACCATGTCCACAGATCAACTTAGAAGGCACAATTGAGTAACAGTCACACCATGAAAGTGTTACTTGGGCAGGTCTCAGTGGGATCCATGCATGAGTAACCACAATGACGTATTGAAGGGTAAATGTTTAAACACACAAAACCAAACTATGAGGCTTTTCAATACACTAAGTATGACAGAATGAAACACAGTCCCATCCATAAGGTTATATTTTATTGTTATGGTAACTGAATTGCTAAAGAAACAAGGGGGTAGCAAAGTTGTTATGGCAATTGGAATGTTAAAAGCAGTCAAAAGCAGAAAATCAAAACACAGCGAACTTAAAATATAACATTGATGACTCAACCTTCAATCAACAGGCTTGCAGTTATTTTCTTTTATGTACATTTTCACTGCAAAGCAGTATTGCTGTATAAGTTTTAAATGCCACAGAACACAAAAAATATATAATGTCTTAAACATGAAAGCGAATTCAAGTATTTGGGCTTAATGATCTTTCTACAAGCAGTTCTTATTACATTTATTGCATTCATTTCAAGATTTTTATTTATTTTTGCACATCTAAATTATGAGTTAGGCTGCATCATATATCTAATTCACAGTCCTCAGACTCCCCATGGGATTTTGGAAGAGTGATCATTTCTTTGGCAAGCAAAGATTTTTAATGAGTGAAAAAATGCACACAATAGAGAAGAACAATAATCTATTTTCCTTGCATACCAATCAGAAAGTGTATGATTAGACAATGTTCTAATTATTGCATGCCAAAAGAATATTTCCCTTATTTCACTCTTCACTGAGAAGCTCAGAATAACGTAGCACCGAATTTTTTGCCAAGCTCATCAATGGTTACTTTTTATCCTGGAAAGAAGTGACTCATGGGATGCGACAGAGTACTGTCCTGTTGTTCAGCATATAAATTACTTGGATGATGGAACAGAGGGATGGTTGTTAAATTTGCAGATTACTCCAAATTAAGAGTAGCAAATATCCCATTGGAAAGGGTCAGAATTTCAGAGAGCTGTGTGAAACTAACAAAATGAACCTCAACAGGAAAAAATTAAGGTACTACACTTAGAAAAAAAATGAAATGCACAGATATATGATTGGTGACTTGCTTAACAACAATACAGATTAAAGTCTAGAACCCTTAGTGGACTACAAGGTAAACCAAGGTTACAACATCTGTTATAGAACTCCAGTATGCTGATGACAATGTCATCTGTGTGCATTCAGAAGAAGATCTACAAGCCACTCTAAACACCTTTACAGAAGCATACAAGAAGCTCGGCCCGTCATTGAACATCGGGAAAACCAAAGTGCTCTTCCAGCAGTCACCAGCCCATCCCTCTCCAATGCCAGAAATACAGCTTAAGGGTGTAACACTAGAAAATGTTGATCATTTCCGCTACCTTGGCAGCCACCTCTCCACCAAAGTCAACATCGACACTGAAATACAACACCGCCTGAGCTCTGCGAGTGCAGCATTTTTCCGAATGAAGCAGAGAGTGTTTGAGGACCGGGACATCCGTAGGGAGACCAAGGGGCTGGTTTATAAAGCTATTGTCCTCCCAACGCTGCTATATGCCTGTGAGACGTGGACTGTCTACAGACGTCACATGCAACTCCTGGAACGATTCCATCAGCGCTGCCTCCGGAAAATCCTGCAAATCTCTTGGGAAGACAAGGCGGACAAACGTCAGCGTGCTGGAAGAAGCAAAGGCCACCAGCATTGAAGCGATGGTCCTCCGCCATCAACTCCGCTGGACCGGCCACGTTGTCCGGATGCCCGACCACCGTCTCCCAAAGCAGTTGCTCTACTCCGAACTCAAGAACGGAAAATGGAATGTTGGTGGACAGGAAAAGAGATTGAAAGATGGGCTCAAAGCCAACCTTAAAAACTCTGGCATAGACACTGAGAACTGGGAAGCCCTGGCCCTTGAGCGCTCCAGTTGGAAGTCAGCTGTGACCAGCAGTGCTGCAGAATTTGAAGAGGCATGAATGGAGGGTGAAACAGAGAAACGTGCCAAGGCGCATCAAGCCAACCCCGACCGGGACCGCCTTCCACCTGGAAACCAATGCCCTCACTGCGGGAGAAGATGCAGATCAAGATTAGGGCTCCACAGTCACCTACGGACCCACCAAAACACTGATCCTGGAAGACTATCCTACTCGGCCAATGAAGGATCGCCTAAGTAAGTAAGCAAGTAAAATACAAGGTAAATATGAGTCAAAGGTCTGATAAGGCAGCAAAAAATCCAGTATGATTCTAGGCTGCACGAAACGAATATAGTGTCTAGATCATGCCTGTACAACCTGACAGTAGACGGGGCCAAGACTAAAATGGGCTGAACTACTTTGAGTCAGAGATAGGTTTTTAGCATAGTCACACTCTTGATTCATCACCTCAAAGTACCCCGCTTCATTCATTCACTTGCCCACACACCTGCTGCCTTCAAGCTATGGAGCTTCACTTGGCTGTAGATGGAAGGGGGCAGGGAAGCTTGTGTGCCGGTCCGCTGGCCTCCTTCCGGCCAGGCATGTAGCCCGGGGGGGGGGGGGGCTTGAGGGGCTTCAGCCCCCCCCCCCCGAAATTCTCATGGTGGTTCGCGAAAAGGCCTTACTGGTGCATTATTTAAATTGTTATGTTTATTCATATCATGATCTGATCACCATACTCAATATATCCCATATGCATGGGGGTATTGGGGTAATGATACAAAAGGTTTGCTAGGTAGACCCTCTTTCACTCAGACTCAGCCCCCCCCGAAACTCAGCCCCCCAAACCCCCCTGAAAAAAACTCACCCCCCCCCCCAAATCGAAATCCTGGCTACGGGCCTCCTTCCGGCAATGGTGCTTCACTTGTCTGAGTCCAAAAGCATTGAATTGAAGAGACTGACAACACCAGTTCTCTTCCACCTAATGCTTTCGGACTCAGATGAGTGAACCTCCATAGCTGAAAGAAGGCATGCAGGCAAATAATAATAATAATAATAATAATAATAATAATAATAATAATAATAATCTTTTATTTGTATATCGCTCTATCTCCCCAAGGGACTCAGGGTGGTTTCCAACATAGGTCAAACACTGCAATTACAGACATAAAAATATGCAAGTAATCATTATAAACAAAGATATAATACTATAAAACAACAACAAAACTTTATTTACATACTGCTCTATCTCCCCAAGGGGACTCAGAGCGGTTTCCAAGTAACATAATCAATACATACAAAGAAAACAGCATAAACATAAAATTAATAAGACAATATAAGCATTAAAAACCACAATAGCACATATATTTAAAATAATTCTGCCTGTTCAAGGCAATTTAAAAGGCCGGGCCGAGCTAGTGCGATTTTAGAGGGCCCAGGAAATTAGGTAGAGTCTGTGGCTGTACATTTCCAGGGCCTAACAGAACATAATTGGTAGAAGAAGATATGGCCAATTTCAACAGTATTTGGGGCAGAGCTAGAACTAGTCGTTCTCAAAGGTTTGTTTAAACCACCAGGTCTTCAGGCTCTTACGAAAGAAGGGGAGGGATGGGGCCTGTCTTATTTCTCCAGGAAGGGCGTTCCAGAGGCGGAGGGCCACCACCGAGAAGGCCCTCTCTCTCGTCCCCAACAACCGTGCTTGTGACGGTGGTGGGAGCGAAAGGAGGGCCTCCCCAGAAGATCTTAAACTTCGTGCCGGTTCATAGGGGGAGATGCGATTGCGAAGATAAGCGGGGCCCAAACCGTTTAGGTGCAGGTTATAGGTCATAACCTGCACCTTGAATTTGGCTCTGCAACTTATCAGCAGACAGTGAAGTCATACATATTTAAAATTAAAAACCAGTTCAGTGCTAATTCTTCATTTAAAAAACCATGGCCTACAGCTCTAGACACTATAACCATGCTTTACAAAAATGATCACTCATACAAACTCTTAAGTGGAATGAAAAGTTTGCTACAGACTTCTGGTAATTAACTTTCAAACAACAAGGCCTTAAAAATCCCTAGAAGTACTTCACTATCAAGCCAGATAATTTTAGCAACTATACAACATCCTAAATGTTGTTCAGTACCAAGCATCCATGAACTGGTTCCAGTCCTGAATGAAACAAATCCGTGAGCAGCAAACTATTTGAGTTAAAATTTGAATTAATTTGACAAAGAGCTCCAATACCATGCACTAGCAGCTCTCTTACTCCAAAAACAGAATTGAAATGTACAAATAATCCATAAATAACCAAAAGACAGACTCACCTTTGTAATGAGAATTCTGTATTTATCCAACAGTGCCTGGTTATCATGACATCCCGATAGCAACTGCCATACTTCAGCCCTTAATGCCTCTGGAATACCATTCTTTACCAACGAAGACAATCCTTTTGGTCGTGAACTGAGGTTATTGTGCCTACAAAAAATGTAATAATGACACTTCCATAAACACTGTGAATTTTAGCAACCACACATACAGATACACTCAATAGATACACTCAATAGCAAGGCTGCAAATTTAATCTGTTTTACAAATATGGGGAATCTATGAACTTACAAATGTAGCTAAACTCCCACTTCCATAATGCCCACCATCAGTGGTGGGCATTATGGGAATAAAATTTACCTTTATTTGGAAGGCCAGGGGTTCCCATCCATGCATGATAGAGGCACTATGAAATATTTGGCTGAGAAACTGGAAAGCTAGACTTTCATACATTTCCCATCTATCCTAGTTATGAAACGGCAACCATGAACATAAAGTATTTAAAAGTCTAACATTTGGTTAAGGCCTTCTTGACCCTCACATTAAGAAGCAATATCAACTTATCATACTATTAAGAAGGTTGCCCTCAAGACAGTGAAACTTTATTTCTGAGGGAACATGCATCAAATTTAATCTTGCTATTCAAAATCATTTTTTGACCAAGAAATCACTCAATGGGAAGGAGATGAGAATGAATGATGGTGTAACCAGAATATCCTCAAATAAAGAAGCCTAGAGAGCACGCCAAAGAACAACCCAATGAGATCATATTATAAGAGGAACAAACTACTACATACATCACTGTTTTTCCAGTATTAGAAGAGATACTTATTCATAGCAAATCCACTTTCATTTGTCAACCAATTACAAAAATGGTGTGCAAAACCAAAATATATTAAAGTATTAAATCATCCTCAGTAGAGTTAGAAGACTCCAAACATCCTCACCAGCCACCAATGCACTGAAAGGTCTATTTGAATCAACATCCTACTAAAATATGCTTTAGCTGTGACGTCTTAATTACTTCTTTAGTAATTCTCAGGGGTATCTTTCAGGAGAAGAGTAGACAAGGCAATCATATAAAGAAACCAGAGTAAGTGGTCTGTCTCCCCAGTTTCTCCCTAGGGGAAAAACATAGTGATGGAGTATCTTACATTATACATGAGATCAGCATCCACAGATTTGAGAATCCAGATTGAAATGGGAGTTTTTTTGTTTGTTTGTTTTGCTTGTTACCAACTACAGTCAAGCCATGAAGCAGTCCAGAGGTAGTAGTGTAGGCCCGTGATGGTGAACCTATGACACGCATGTCAGCACTGACACGCATGGCTATTTTTGATGACACGCAGCCACATGCGGCCACATACAGAGAAGTACACCTTATAAGAGCCAATCTAATTCCATCCTTAAATTTGTAAAAGGCTCTACAAATTTAACATCTGCATGTTTGAGCATTGTTCACTCCATAACTCAGCATGGAATATACATTTTTCTTATTTAAACTATAAATATTGCAAAATTATGATTTTTTTCTCGAAGTTGACACCCCACCCAAGTTATGGTCAGGTTTTTGGCAAATTTTGACACACCAAGCTCAAAAGGTTGCCCATCACTGGTGTAGGCTGTAGCATCAAGTTTCAGGCATCTGTAGCTTACCACCATTGGGTGATGTGTGGTGCTTTTAACTGAGTGTCAGTTGCTGTTTATATGTACATTTGTTTTTAATTTTATTTTACATTATTTTTATTTTATGCTCTGTTTTGAGGCACCTCGTGCCATGTGTAAGCCATCCTGAGTCCCTTCGAGGAGATACAAGAACCAAGTTATTATATTATTATTATCAGGCATGCATTTCTCCTGCTTTGACTGTGGAAGGCCCTATGTGCTCCTAGCAAGAAGCAGGAAGAATATAAACATGGTGATCAGGGCTTGTGCCATCGCTGCTTCCCCTTTCCTGCCTGCCGGCTCATAGAAGGCAAGCTCACCAACAGCTTGGCAGGGCAGCAGCAGTGGGAAGCATCTGACAATAGAGGCATTAGACTCCATTTCCCCCACCCACTGGCTTCTGGATAGAAATCCAAGCAAACACCTGGCAATCAGGGTTTCACGGCTCCGCTTCCCTCATTTTTGGCTCATGGAAAGCAATTCCACCAAAGGCTAGTCAGCGGAAGCAGAAGCTGCTTGATGGTGATGATAATGCAAAAGAGTCAGAGGACTTACATCAATCATTTTGGACACTTGAAAAATTGAAAAATTGCTGCAGTGTTTCATCAGGCACAAGTGTTAAAGGACATGATTCTCAAGTACAAGCTTTCTATGGAATGAAACTTCCATGTCATCTGAGGGATAAAAGGATGCCTTCAAACACTGCAAGATTTATTTGATAATGCCAGGAATGTTTCTAATCAAAGCATCAGCTATTGTGAAGTCCCAACCATCAATGTCAGCCCTTGACCATCACAGATCCTGATCTCAGAATTATTGAGCCTATTCCAAAATGTCAACAGAGCGAAAGTGATGCTTCTGATTTCTAAACAATACAGAATATACAGCAGAGACTGTATAGCGTAATAACTAACATATTTTCAACTCTTTACAGCAAAGCTTTCCAAACATTTCATGTTGCTGACACACTTTTTAGACATGTATCATTTTGCAATACAGTTATGCAGTTTTACTAGGAAACAAGAGGTTAAACCGATCTCTTATAAGAGATACAGACACATACTAAAACTGTCATAATGAAATGCATGTGGATACAACATATCTCATAAAACCTTTCATTTATATTTTAGCAATATATAATTTGTAAGATAATAGCATACGTGCCCAAGATTTTTATCATCTTACATTTGTGTGACACAGTGCAGCTGACACACAAATGTGTCACAACACAATAGTTTGGAAACTATTGATGTATTTGAGCCTTGTCAAATCATGTTTGCCCATTTAACATCGCTGCCCACACAATCAACACACACATCTTTATGAATCTTCATTGGTTTTTCTAAATGAATGTTCACATTTTATTTTAGTCATAATTTTTTATACATTATGTTTTTATTTAATTTATAGATGTAATGTTTAAGTTGTTTTCTTATGTGGGGGTATGTTGGGTTATTATATTTGTACTTCCTGTTATTGAGGCATTGAATGTTTTCCTTTTTGTTTGTTGGAATCCGCTCAGAGAGCAGATAGGGCGGAATATAAATATAGTACTGTCCAGTTATCTGTTTGTGAACATCAAAGGATTCAACATGTAAATGCCACATGGACCTATGTGTATGCCTTATAGCTAATATGGTATATTCAGAGAGTAACCACAACAGAATGATGGGTGTAGGGAGAAAAGAAAGAGCAATTTCTTCCTAGAGTGATACTATCCAAGAAGCAAAATGATGCTTTGGATGCCTTTTCAGCAGACTTTGTAATTACTATGCAGCAAAATCCTTGTGTTTAATTAAATGTGTAGAGTAACATGTACCGTGTGAAAATGCATCTATCTGGTAAATAGTTCTTTTGTGTCTGAGCCTTGCTTCTAGGTTTCAGAGACTGCTGTCCTGGGAAACTTGGCAAACTTCTAGGGGTCTCCATATTGGGCTTCTCAGGTTACATACAGGCATTTTGTGTGCGCATATAGAAGGGATGTGGGTCAGTAAACCTGCAGATGATGGTGTCCTTCCCTAGCTGGCCATATACTTGCAGTCTTCTGATGTTTCCCTTAAGAAGCCAAATTGATTCTTCCCTTTCCATCACAAGAAGGCAGAGAAGAAGAAAGTGGATATATGTCAATTACACTCCGGATTAATTTCCCAGGACTAAATTGTTTTGATAAGAGATAACATGGTTCCTCTCTTCTATTAAGTCATTTTTGCAAAATAATAACAATAAAGACCTCATTACCTCTGAGGATACTTGCCATAGATGCAGGCGAAACGTCAGGAGAAAAATTGCCTCCAGAACATGGCCATATAGCCCGGAAAAACCTACAACAACCCAGTGATTCCGGCCATGAAAGCCTTCGACAATAATAAGATCCATAGTAGAATATTGAGAATGAGTTATAGTGGGCCATAGGAATCTGTAGGGGCTCAACTCACTATAGAAAATTTGAAATTATATGTAACTGCAACTAGACTGAGAAGAAGTCTGAAGGGAGTTGCAGGAATAAGTTGTGCTCTTTGTTTCAAAAAGGCAGAGGCCATGGGTCAGGTGTTTCCAGCAAAAAGCATAAAGATATTGTGTCTGATGCTCAGGGCTTACTCATGTTACCCCCCCCCCCCCCCCGGGCTCCATAAAGCAACCCTAAGTGCCTTAACATGGTAGACAACAGCAACAAACACATAGCTTTATTTAACATTTGCTTTACCACCACCACCACCACCACCACCACCACCACCCCCCCCCCGCAAGCTTACAGAGGACAAGGGAACCCTCTCATCTTTCTCACCACTATTTCATATTCAATTCCCAAAAAATAAAAACTTGTTCTTCAGAAATGCAAAAAAAAAAAAAGTTGGAATATGACTCAGCAACACCCCCAGCTCCTACTACGATAAGCAAATTATTATACAATTACTAGGGTATCCAAAGATCATGAGTAGGATGTCCAAAAAGTGTGGGCCCTGGTGCAATAAAAATCTTGAATTATAGATCTATTTACTCTTTTATACAAAAATATGTTCAAACATAATGCTGGATCAAATGCTGGAGTTTTGCTTGCCTTTTAGGTGAATGGGCAGGCCTACGTTAATATTTTTTTTTACCAAAAACATCAACGCCATTAATAATGTATCCACGGACACGTTATTTTCTATGGACACTGAACCAAATTCAGGTTTACATGTCAATGTTAGTAAAAACGATAAATATTGTTGTGGCAACTTAAAACATATTTAATTATATAACCAAATATCACAACAAATGTGTGGAAGATCATTCTGAGCTTGTTTATCTGTTATATCTATATACAGAAAATGCTAGTGATGTCATTTTAAAGTAAATAACTGCAGATGTGATACTTAGAATCAAACTGATACTCCTAAATAACAACACCATGAATACTATCGGGTCTTTTTAATTAACATATGTCAATAGTGCCCAAATATTCAAAATGAGCCCAAAATGCTTATTTACACATCCAATCACAACAATCCACAGTAAAACTAGACCTCACAACTGAGCAGAAGGCCAATCGGAGGGATGTGTGTGTTGATCTTCTGAACCATTTTAAAAAGGAGTCAGAATTCTTCAGTCTTGTGATCATGGATTTTTGAGTACGACTCAGAGACCAAATGCCAAAGTCAGGAATAGCATACTGCACTGCACTCCCAAGAAAGGGAGAATGAGTAAATCGAAAATCAAATTGATGTTCACTTGATTTTGTTTTTCACAGTCAGGGGATTGTCCAGAAGAAGTTTGTGCATCCAAGACTAATTGCCAATCAAACTTTTTTATTGGCAAGTCCTTGAAAGATTTAGAAAGAAGGTGGCATGTTTCCAAGTAGGCACTGCATGCACTTGGATGCTCCACAACACACCACAATCTCCATCCATGATTTTTTGGCAGAAAAGGGCATTCCTGGAGTTCTCCAGCCCTTGTTAACTGGATCTCAGTCCCTGTGACTTCTTTTTATTCCCCCAGCTCAAAACGCACTTGAAAGGATGCCATTTTGGTACAATAAATAATATCCAGAAGAGTGCAACTGATGAGCTGAAAGGCATGCCAGAAGAAGCCTTCCAGCACTGCTACGAACAATGGGAGGAAAAAACACCTCTGCAGTTGTGTAGTTGAACAAGGGAACTACTTTGAAGGGATAACCTTGATCCAGACACAGAATAAAATTCATGGTTAAAAGAAAATCAGCATCGTTACTTTTTTGCTGTATCTCCTATATCCAACCCATGGACCATCTCTTTTCATATTATTTTACAGGATGGTGGGGGTTTTCTTCCTACTCTTATAAATAATTATGTTCTAAAATATTCTTACCATCGTCCTAGTAGTTCTCCCCAAGAATACAAGATCTTCTCTGGGCAATCCTTTGATACATCACCAGTGCCACTGGAGAGTTCATTATCACTCTCTGTAGGCAGAAATAGAGAAAAAACCCAGACAGATAAACCAGAGCCAATATAAATTCTGATCCTCATTCCACACGTTGAACAACTGAGTGCAAGATGAAAAACAAACCTTAATATACACTTGTAAAATGAAAACAGAGCCCTAAGAATCTTCTTTGAAATTTATTTTCAAGTATTATATCACATTTTCTCTAATACAGGAATAACATCAAATAAAAAGAAAAAAGATGCCTATGTTAATAATAATAATAACAACAATAATAATAATAATACTTTATTTATAACCTGCCACCATCTCCACAAGGGACTCAGAGCGGCTTACATAAGGCCAAGGCCAACAACATATCAATAAAATCATCAAGCAATAAGCAAATAAACAATACAATTAATATAACTCATATATAGACCAAACACATAGATTTAAAAACCTATGGCAGGGCCAAATGTAGTAGTTAAAACTTTAAAATAAATGCTGGACATGAACAGAGGTAGGATGTATCCGGTAGGAGGGTTTTAAACTAGAAGTAGGGGAGCAACCCAACGGGTAATTAAAGTGCTTCTCAGGGTATTTTGTAGGGGATTGTGTCCTTAATTCTGGGAAGGCACACTGAAACAGCCACGTTTTCAGGCTCCTCCTAAAGACTGCCAATGTGGGGGCTTGTCTGATATCCTTGTAAAGTGAGTTCCAGAGTCGGGGGGCCACGATAGAGAAGGCCCTCTCCCTTGTCCCCGCCAATCGCGCCTGTGAAGGAGATGGGGGTGAGAGCAGGGCCTCTCCAGATTGAAGAGATTGCGTGGGTTCGTACACAGAAATGCGGTAACTGAAACAAAGCAGTCCAGAGATCCACAGGAAACTCTTGATAACTGTGGGCATGCAGCTGCCTTCTCATTCCCATTTGCAGATGAAGCAGCTAAAGAAGCCACAGAGGTTCATTCAGTTGTTTATCATGCCATGCATACCTGAGTCCTTGTTTCTGTCCCAAAGAAAATGAGATGGAATCAACAATGAAGTCTAAAATAAGCCATGGATTCCATCTCCATTTATTTGGAAGACATAGCCAAAAAAAGAAGGAAAAAGGAGACTAACATTTAGCTATTTCTTCACCGGAAAATGTGAGGAAAGCAAACTAAGTCATACTGACTGACTGCTGCAGGTGGGCACTGCAATTGTGATGGGACAGAAAAGCGTGGTCACCCTGACATTATCTTCTTATGCATGACCAGCAAATTTGGGGTGTACTTTGGTGCCCAACTCAGGTGCCCAACACTCTCCCCAGTCTGTTCCTCATTATGCTGGTAACTGGGATGGGGCTGAAGGGTCACCAGGTAGCAGGGAACCCCAGCCTCTTTCCAGGCTGGGTTGAGACCGGAATTAGGCCCACATGCATGATTTCCCCCACCCCACTGCAAAATTTTAACCTATTCCCAAGAAGAGAATTATTGCAATCTTCTTCAACAGGTCTGAAATTCATGATCTTTGGGAACAGCAAACAGTCTGGGTTTGAAGAATTCTAATCTCCATTTTCTTCCTAGCTACACTTTAGGAAGTTCAGTCAAGTTGAATGACTGGTCTGGGTGACTTACGGACTCACCCTATCTATGTGTGCACAAAAGCACATGCAAAAGAGATCTCATTTGAATAGCTGCAGATTTAAAATATACAGGAAACCAGCATTAATCCTTTCTAGGAATATTTTCACTATTTGCCAGAGGCTGCCATTGTTCTTCATTGTCAAGGAAGAGAGAGAAAAGTGACAGAATTTTTTAGGGAATTTTTAATTGCTAGTTGCTGTTCATAAATTTTATCTCTCACCTATTTTAGGTTATTGGAGTATAGAGTTATTGGAGTAGTTCATTTTACTCTTACCTTCTTCAGCATCTTCATCTTGCAGAGATGTTCGATCGCTTGATGGACTTACTAGATCTTCCTGCATTTTCGAATCTCGGCAAAGGCTCAGGACTTCATAAATCATGTCTCCGGTGTTTGCATTACTTTTTCCTTCACACTAGATTTGTAACAGTAAATATGTTTCAGGCTCAAAGTAGTTACTTCACTGATCATTGTTAATACTGTAATTCTTCAATTCGCTATAGTTCATTTGGGATTTTTGCATAAAAATGAAATAATTTTTGAAAATGAAATATTTTTCAGCGATTGAATTGTAGTGATTAAAGCAGTGGTCCTCAAACTCTGGTCCGGGGGCCAGATACGGCCGTCCAAGGTCATTTACCCGGCTCTCACTCAGGGTCAACCTAAGTCTGAAATGACTTGAAAGCACACAACAATAACAACAATCCTATCTCATCAGCCAAAAGTAGGCCCACACTTCCCGTTGATATACTAATAAGTTTATATTTGTTTAAAATTGTTCTTCATTTTAATTATTGTATTGTTTTTAAGTGTTTTTGCACTACAAATAAGATATGTGCCGTGTGCATAGGAATTCATTCATGCTTTTTTCAAATTATAATCCGGCCCTCCAACAGTTTGAGGGTCTGTGACCTGGCCCCCTGTTTAAAAAGTTTGAGGACCCCTGGATTAAAGTATAAGGTTATAATAGCTTTACTCTACTAAGTTACTACTACACTTCATTTAAAGCTTTATATTATTAAAAATTAAAAAGATATGGTGTGAGGGGAGGAGAAAAAATGAGATAAAATTAGAAGAGTGAATTCAGTACTTGTGAAAATTATCTTGGAGTCCTCGTGGAAAACAAGTTAAACATGAACCAACAATGTCATGCAGCAGCTGAAAAAGCCAATGGGATTTTGGCCTGCGTAAATAGGAGTATAGTGTCTAGATCCAGGGAAGTCATGCTACCCCTCTATTCTGCCTTGGACAGAGAAAACCTGGAATAGTGTGTCCAATTCTGGGCACCACAATTGAAGGGAGATGTTGACAAGCTGGAATGTGTCCAGAGGAGGGCAAGTAAAATGATCAAGGGTCTGGAGAACAAGCCCTATGAGGAGCTTAAAGAGCTGGGCATGTTTAGCCTGAAGAAGAGAAGGCTAAGAGGAGACACGATAGTCATGTATAAATATGTGAGAGGAAGTCATAGGGAGGAGGGAGCAAGCTTGTTTTCTGCTGCCCTGGAGACTAGGACACAGAACAATGACTTCAAACTACAAGAAAGGAGATTCCATCTGAACATTAAGGAGAATTTCCTGACTGTGAGAGCTATTCAGCAGTGGAACTCTCCGCCCTGGAGTGTGGTGGAGTCTTCTTCTTTGGAGGCTTTTAAACAGAGGCTGGATGGCCATCTGTTGGGGGTTATTATTATTAGTTGTGTCAGGAGCGACTTGAGAAACTGCAAGTCGCTTCTGGTGTGAGAGAATTGGCCGCCTGCAAGGACGTTGCCCAGGAGACGCCTGGATGATTTGATGTTTTTATCATCCTTGTGGGAGGCTTCTCTCATGTCCCCGCATGAGGAGCTGGAGCTGATAGAGGGAGCTCATCCACCTCTCCCCGGATTCGAACCTGCAACCTGTCGGTCTTCAGTCCTGCCGGCACAGGGCTTTAACCCACTGCGCCACCGGGGGCTCCTTATCTGTTGGGGGTGCTTTGACTGCAATTTTTCTTGGCAGGACATTAGACTGGAGGGCTCTTGAGGGCTCTTTCTAACTCTATGATTCTATGATTCATGTGAATCCAAGTTAGGTCTGTAGGTGATGGATAAGAACATCAGCATGGATGATCCGCCCACAACCTGAGATAGTTACTCCTTCTGTTTGCTTTTTAAGAACAGAATCTTTTAACCAGTATTGACATTGTTGGTACCCAAGGTGACTAAAATATCATAAATTCTCTAACTGTCTCCTATGTACATGTGATGAAATCGGTGTCCATACATGGTGGGTGCACAGTGATATTATGTATGTGGATTTACTTTTATCTGTATGCATAGATACAGGGAATGATAAAAACATGTGGACACATGCACAATAAATTTACTAACCTTCTGTTTAAATAATCTCTAGTTTTCTTCTCTTCTCATGTCTAATGCAATAACAATAGGTAGACAGGGAACCGCTTTTTATCCTTTAAATTGCTTATGGTTTAAAGTCTGAATAATTATTCTTAAATTAAATTAATAAATTAAATAAGTTGCCTCTTTTGATTAAAACTTGGGATTTAAAAAATATATTGAACATGAATATGTCCCTGTAAGAGACACTAAGATCTCATTCAAAATGTTAATATTATCATATTGTATATGCGCATATCAACCAGCTGCCCACAATCAATTTTCTGAGTGACCCAGTAATAAAACAATGTTAAAACATACATGGTAAAGTTTCCAAGAAACCTTAACCGTGCAACAGATGTTATTTTTCAAATTTGATAAGAATGGCTAGTCAGCACCAAAAAAAGTATGTTTATTTTCCTGTCTCTCTACGAGTTCTCCCTTGCAAATAATTCTGCTCCTTTATCTCACCCTGAGTTTTTAAATCATTTTATGTACATGCGGCCTGTTCACTGTCATTAAGTTTGGTTTACTGCTTTTTTATGTTTTGTGTATATTGTTTATATGCTTATATGTTTTATACTTTAATGTTATGTTTTTTATTTTATTGTAATTTTTATCTTATTTTATTGTAATTTGTTGTTTGGGCTTGGCCTCATGTAAGCCGCCCCAAATCCCCATTAGAGGAGATGGTGGCAGGGTATAAATAAAGATGATGATGATGATGATGATGATTATTATTATTATTATTATTATTATTATTAGGACAAAAATAAAAAGAGCAATGTGCTACTGTTAATGCAAACATACAATCCTGCACATGAAAAAATCTTTTTAAAATGTTAACAAAAAATATTTCCTGAACTGGCCATAGAAAGGAGAACCCTTCTTATTTCATTCAAAACAACATGCTGTCAAGTTGATAAGCTAAATCCAAAGTGGTGTAGTGACAAGAGCAATGTTATATTCAATTTCCTTTACTACTTTCCATACCAATTTGCGAAGGCTGTTCATTCTTATATAACAAACATTTTAGCTACACAATAATATGCCCACGCTGGTAAAAAAAAAAAAAAGTGATATGTGCATTCTAAACATTGGGTGGATGCAGAAATTAATGTCCTAAGAGCCTGTTTGATTTTTTTCCCCCAAGTCTCTATACCTTATCCATGTGTTCAGCAATGACTGATGCATTTTCAGTGGGATGTGGAGCTTAGTAATTCTTCTAATAGCCCAGAGAAGAGCTTCAAAATCCGGTAATTCCTCCCCTCATGAATATTAGAAGCAGAATAGTTAATAGGGAATCAGTCAACAGTATTGATGACTTTTTCATCATCATTACTGCCACAAGCAGTAGCAGCATTGGAAGCAGGAAAATTAAGAACCCGTGCCCCACTGTCAACCAGTGCTATTTTAAAATCAAAATCTGAACTCTAATTTGGAGCTATTCTAATCAAACCCGGCTGCCATGAAACAGTCTCAATTTATGCATGTTGACATGCAGTTGGGACAATAGCAAGTGGAATAAGAAAAAACCATTTTTCCTACTTCCAACAGGCCTCACTACCTCTGAGGATGCTTGCCATAGATGCAGGCGAAACGTCAGGAGAAAAATTGCCTCCAGAACATGGCCATATAGCCCGGAAAAACCTACAACAACCCAAACCCTATAGTTCTTTCCCTTGTTTCTGTGTATCTTGTTTCATTACATCTTTTTGTCAAGAATGAAACCCTATCATAGAGAGAAAAGATGGGGAAATTGGAAAGGGAAAGGAAACTTAATAATCAATTGAATTTGACACACAGTCAAATGTTTATTATTTTTATTTCCTAAACAACTAAAACTTATTAATGTAGATAGCACTATTTACAGCAGGGGTCCTCAAACTAAGGCCCGGGGGCCGAATACGGCCCTCCAAGGTCATTTACCTGGCCCTCGCTCAGGGTCAACCTAAGTCTGAAACAACTTGAAAGCACACAACTACAACAATCCTATCTCATTAGCCAAAAGCAGGCCCACACTTCCCATTGAAATACTATATTTATTTATTTATTTATTTATTTTATTTAGCAGTTTTGTATACCGGTCTTCTCACCTCCGTTCGAGGGACTCAGGCCAGTTTCCAACATCAATATTACAGTCATTAAAACATCATATTCTAAATCACACTAAAACATTAAAATAGCAAAATGCAATCATATAATTACAGTGGTCAGTCATCATCAAAAATCAAGAAAAATCATATTTGTTAAAATTTGTTCAAATTGTTCATTTTAATATTTTTTTTAAAAAGTATTGTATTGTTTTAAAGTGTTTTTTGCACTACAAATAAGATATGTACAGTGTGCATAGGAATTTATGGAGTTTTTTTCCAAATTATAATCTGGCCCTCCAACAGTTTGAGGGACTGACCTGGTCCTCTGTTTAAAAAGTTTGAGGACCCATGATTAACAGATTCTATACATATAATACGAGATGATATCTTAATAACTTTCTGCATGTCCTTTGAAAGACAGAAACCACTATGTTATTTTTTATATTTTGCATTACAAAATCAACAATTTCCAGGGTACAAAATGCAACACATAAAAAAATTAACCCTACATATCTAGAAATGAAGCATCTCTAGCGATGGAATCCTGTCCAGTATTTCCATAAGCTTGATGAAAATCATCTTTCCTGAAATCCAGGGTCCATGCTTGATTCTACTCTTCTTTGATCTGTCTCATTATTATGAATTCTAGCATTACATGGTCAGGTCACACACACACACACACACACCCTCCCTAAAATACCAACTGTTTTGATTTCAGTGAACAACTCCACCCTACTGATTTGGATCAAGCCCAGGATTGCTGATCCACTTGTTTCTTCCTCCCCCTTTTGAAAAGGGAAATTATCTGGAAGGCACACAGTAGGCATTTATTAGAGTCTATGCTCCTCTTTTCTGCTTTGGTCAGATCTCACCCAGAAGCCTGTGTCCAGTTCTGGACACCACAATTCAAGACAGATACTGAAATTCTGGAACGTTTCCAGAGGAGAGTGACTAAAACAATCAAAGGTCTGGAAAGCACGCCCTATGAAGGGCAGCTTAAAACCCTGGGCATGTTTAGCCTGCAGAAGAGGATGTTGAAAGGAGACATGATAGCCATGTTTAAATATTTGAAAGGATGTCACAATAATAAACTTTATTTATACCCTGCCACCATCTCCCCCAACGGGGACTCGGGGCGGCTTACATGAGGCCAAGCCCAAACAACAAATTACAACAAAATAAAACCAAAAACACAAGCAACAGCTTAATAATTACATAGAAACATATAATACAGTGAGCAATCTAAGAAAACAATATACACAATTACAATGACAATGGGCAGGATAAAATATTAAAAACTCAGGGTGAGATAAAAGAGGAGCAGGTTATTTGCAAAGGAGAGCTCATAAAATGGGGTTGTAGAACCAAACTTTCCCACAAAGGGGTGACGTGTACTCCAATGACAGAAACGTTCAGGGGAGCAATAGTGTGAGGTTTTGTGCCTACACACAAGGAAGAGGAAGTAGGCTTTTTTGTTTGTTGCCACAGGAACTAGGACTCAGAGCAATGGGTTCAAACCACATGAAAGAAAATTCCACCTGAACATTAGGAAGAATTTCCCAATCGTAAAAGCTGTTCAACTGTGGGACTTTCTGCCTTGGGGTGTGGTGGAAGCTCCTTCCTTGGAAGCTTTTAAGCAGAGGCTGGATGGCCATCTGTTAGAGTTGCTTTTGATTGTGCTTTTCCTGTATGGCAGGGGGTTGGACTGGATGTGGTCTCTTCCAACTTCTATGATTCATCAGGATGTAATGACAGAATGGCTACAGAAAGGCCTCCCTAAATTCAGACTTCCAGCTTCACACTCAATTAGAAACACCAGATCAACCTAATGACTTCTCCACAGGTTAAGTAAATGACACACTAAAACAGCCTCACACTGATCATAATAGTTATGAAAAACCGACTCTCAAAGATAACTCCAACATGAACACCGAACCTATCTAAAACTGTCCTGGTGTTTTAACAGCACCACTGCAGAAATCCTCTTAGTCTCTCTGACTAAATTAACATCAAAAAGGATAAGAAAGAGGAAGTGGAAGGGGGAAGAAAGGAAGAACACTTTCAAGCCTTACCCTCATCTAAATTACTCATTAGTTGAGGTCATGGTGATAAGAGTCCCATAGATAATAGGTGCACACAGCTCTGGAGGTGGGCCCCTGCCAAATATAGAGACTTCACAGACAAAAGCAGACAGGTTGCCACTTCTCATGGTGCCCATCTGTGCCATCAATTTAGTCCCAGGGACCCCAATCCCAAGCAGTTGCCTGTACTCTTCTCACTGCTAGAGAAAAATCTACACCGTGGATCATTAGACCCTCAAATTTCCCCATGGGGGGCGGGGGGGCTGTGCTGTCCATCCAAAAAAAAGTATGGGGAACTGAGACGATGTAATAATTCCAGGACTCTGAACTGAATTACCATCTGTTTCCACTACCCCTTGCCTTTGTATCTGGAAATGCGAGAGCAGTTACACAGTGCAAGGGTCTTCACCAAGCTGAACTTGGGGCAGATCCAGGCTGGGGATGAATGGAAGACCACTTTCCAGCCCCAGTATGGGCATTATGAATGTGTCTGGCTTTCCACACACCACCTGCCCCATCAGTTCCCATGCTGGAAGTTGGATGCCTCTGTGGTGGATCTATACTAGATACAGTTGATTCTCTTGGATTGCCACGATAGGCTTCTTGATTTATTATGCTCATGTGGACATCAGATTGCCTGGCTTGGCTAAAGCTCTCTCTGTTCTGTCAATAACATTTTAGTTGGACTTTCAGGGAAAGGAAACCCAGTTCACTTATAAATGGATTTTGTTGTTGTTGTTCATTCGTTCAGACTTTTCCGATTCTTCATGACCTAATAGACCAGCCCACGCCAGAGCTTCCTGTCGGCCGTCACCACCTCCAGCTCCTTCACGATCAATCCAGTCACTTCAAGGTTACCATCCATCCATCTTGCCCTTGGTTGGCCCCTCTTCATTTTTCCTTCCATTTTCCCCAGCATCATTGTCTTCTCTAAGCTTTCCTGTCTTCTCATGATGTGGCCAAAGTACTTCATCTTGGCCTCTACTATCCTTCCCTCCAATGAGCAGTTGGGCTTTATTTCCTGAAGTATGGACTGATTGGATCTTCTTGGGGTCCAAGGCACTCTCAGAACTTTCCTCCAACACCACAGTTCAAAAGCATCTATCTTCCTTCGCTCAGCCTTCCCTATGGTCCACCTCTCACATTCGTGGCTGACTATGGGGAATACCATTGCTTTAACTATGCAGATCTTCATTGTCAGTGTGATGTCTCTACTCTTCACTATTTTATCAAGATTGGACAGTGCTCTCCTCCCAAGAAGTAAGTATAGATGGATACTTTCAGGAAAAGCCTTAATCTGTCTTGCAGAACAGAACAACAATTTTGATACTCAACCACTCCCCCAGTTCCTCTTCTCAGATGATGGTACCATAAACTAACTCAGGCCCTTCATCTAAGACCAATTGCGAATGACAGCTGTCATTACCATGGGCCAACCAAACATTTGGTATGCCTGAGTTGGATTACAACAACTGAACGGGTTTCATTCCTATTTTGCTGAAGAGTCATTCTGAGGTGGGATTACATTCCTTAAAGAAGCCTGCCAACTATTATCAAATGGTCCAGCGTGCGGCAGCCAGGTTGCTAACAGGAGTGGCACTCAGAGAGCACATAACTCCTCTGCTGCATCAGCTCCACTGGCTGCCAGTTTGCTACCGGGCTCAATTCAAAGTGCTGGCTTTAGCCTATAAAGCCCTAAACGGTTCCGGCCCAGCCTACCTATCCGAACGCATCTCTTCCTACAAACCCTCCAGGAAGTTAAGATCATCTGAGGAGGCCCTACTCTCGATCCCGTCTGTTTCGCAAGCACGCTTGGTGGGGACGAGGGACAGGGCCTTCTCTGTGGTGGCCCCTTGGCTGTGGAACTTCCTGCCTAGGGATATTAGATCAGCCCCCTCGCTCCTGACTTTTCGGAAGAGAGTAAAAACCTGGCTCTTCGAGCAAGCATTCGGAACCCCAGAATAAATAGTCAAGCTTGAGATGGAGAATGACCCAGGAACGGCCAAGACGATGAAACGGATGAGGATTGGAATGAGAGGATATAGCTCTTTTTAAATTGTTACTGCACTGTCTTTTTTGTCTAAATGCACTTAATTGTTTGTATTGATGGCATCGAATTGTGCTGATATGTAGACCGCCCTGAATCGCCTGCGGGCTGATATGGGCGGGATATAAATAATGTAAATAAATAATGTAAATAAATAAATAAAATCATACAACTGTCCCTTCTTCTCCTGCAGGTTAACAAATGAGTATCAGCCTAGCTTACATACTTATTTGCAGTATTTTGAGAAGAATACACAGAACTAGATAGCTAGACTGTAAATAACATATTAGGCTGCCCCACTTAACTTCTTGTTTTTGTTCACGTTAAAAAGCATTACCTGTTTCAATTTCATGTAGAATGTTTCTGTGAAGGCTTTTCTGCTGAAGTACCAGAAGCGCTCATTAGCAGGATAGATGCGCACAAGTGTCTCCACGAGAAAGCGCACGGGTTCTACCACTTCAGTGACGACCATATCTACTGCCACAGTCATGTACACATACTTATCTGTAGTATACAAAACAAGTTGACTTTCACAAACGATACGAAAAGATTAAATATAATTGAATCACACCTCCAGTCTCATGATAGATTTCTTTTACAGAAACTCTTCAGAAGCTCATATGTCATAACTGCCTTGTCTCTTCCCTACCTTCCTCTAGAACTCTCCAACACCCACACAATGCAGTGCTTAATTAATGCTTTCTCGACTAAACTTCCTCTCTTCTTATTTCTTATCCCTTATCCCCTTCCGTTCCTTGATTTTCTTCTTTTTATTATCGGAAGCGTGTACCAGCTTTCTTCCTTTTAACCTAACACACAGAACAACTTCTAAAGCTGGCATGATTTATAAATAATTCTATACACTGTGATAAATTTAGCATATGATGAAGTCGGGGCCAGAACAGAAGGCTGCTCGAGATCTTGAATTCACTTGCAGTCCTGTTATATAAAACTCACAGCTAACAAGCAAAAATTTAAATGCATATTTACCTTTAGAAGTCTCTTCATTAAGAACTAGAAAGGCAGGTATATTAGGATTCCACATTCCAGTAATAATATAAGATTTTCCATCACTGCCTTTTCCCATTGACTCCTGAGAAAACAACCATTATTTTTTTTGGATTAGCACTCAATTTCTAGTTTTATGTCCAAAAATACCTAAGATGATATGATACTTATCACAAAGTATTTTCTGATATAACTACATTGTTAAAAAAAATAAGTCAGGTAGAAAATTACATTTCGTATTGTTTAGTACAGTAGGCTCTCATTTTGCTGGTTGCTCGAACTCTCAAGCAACCAGCAAAATATCAAAGAAATAACACTTTTAACTTTTTTAAAAGCTGTTTTTATAATTTAGTTATTTTAAACTAGCCGTCCCTTGCCACGCGTTGCTGTGGCCAACATGGGGGTTCTGTGTGGGAGGTTTGGCCCAATTTTATCGTTTGGGTTCAGAATGCTATGTGATTGTACGTGAACTATAAATTCCAGCAACTACAACTCCCAAATGTCAAGATTCTATTTTTCCCAAACTCTACCAGTGTTCACATTTGGACATACTGAGTATTCGTGTAGAGTTTGGTCCAGATCCATCATGGTTTGAGTCCACAGTGATCTCTGGATGTAGGTGAACTATAACTCCAAAACCAAAGGACACTGCCCACCAAACCCTTCCAGTATTTTCTGTTGGTCATGGGAGAACTGTGTGTCAAGTTTGGTTCAATTCCATTGTTGGTGGGGTTCAGAATGCTCTTTGATTGTAAGTGAACTATAAATCCCAGCAACTACAACTCCCAAATGACAAAATCAATTGGGTTGTCTTGTGTCCAAATTTGGTGCCAATTTGTCCAGTGGTTTTTGAGTTTTGTTAATCCCACAAACGAACATTACATTTTTATTTATATAGATTTGGCTTTATTTATCTTAAATTGCTTTTAGTCACTATTTTTCAATATTTATATCAAGTCAATATAGAGTTATGATATGGTATTGTATGAGGTATAGTATTAGTTAGGCCTATTTTTAAGGGTAACTCTCAAACAACCAGAAACTACATTTATCTGGCATCTATCAATCCTCATGGATGTTGGTTAACTTTAATGTTTATTATTAATAATAATAATAATAATAATAATACTTTATTTATACCCCGCTCCATCTCCCCCAGGGGGACTTGGGGCGACTTACATGAGGCCACGCCCATCAATACAGTAAACACAATATTACACAAAACCATAACACAATATAACATAAGGCATAACAGAACTAGAAAACATAAAATGCAAAACCTAAATAATAAGCGAAACAACTGTATAAAATCAGACATTAAACACACAGAAATTGCACAGGGCAAGGCCAAATTTAAAAATTAAAATTTTAAAATTTTAAAACACTGGGAGATTGGGCAATGGAAATAGAAAATTGTTAACATTCATTTCACTGGAAAATGAAAAGGTTGTTTATCTTTTCTTTTCTTTTTCTTCTTCAAATGGTTCAAACAGTAGGCTGCACACATGGATTCTGACCCAGAACAGAACTTTCTTTGCAAAATTGCAAAACAAACATTTAGGCAGAAGCTCTGGCTTCCTGACAGAGCATACATCCTCAAAGTGTGTAGCTCCCAGCACTCCTCTAGATGAAACGGCCATGGTTCCTCAGTAAAGAATGAGAGGTACCGCATTTCATCACATAATAGTCACCATCGCATCACTGTTGCACACTCCTTTTTGGAGTCTCGGTTTTCGTATTTTCTGATTCCTCGCTTAACAGTCGCACACCTATGTGCCTGCCCCAAGCGAGGGAAGCCCCCATAGCTCCGAAGAGTATGTGCATGAATGGGTAAAGATGTGAGGGCTGCGACTATTATGTGAGGAAACATTTTGCAGCTACAGGGGTTCCCATGCACCTACTGCCAGCCAAGGGAGGCTGTGAAGCCCTCTCTGGAAGGCGCACAGGCGGGTGAAGGCAGTGATGCTAGCTTAAGTGATGAACAAACCTTTCTCCAATCACTCCACTGCTCTAGCTAATGTCACTACAGGCACCAAGTGATGACTGCCAGTTTTGTGCCTGGTGGTTGCCTCTAAACCCAGAATGAGAATGGGAAGGTACGTGCCATTTCTCGTCCCTGGGCTGCAAAAGCTCAAGGAAAGGAGATAGGTGTGTAAACAGCTGCAAACACTTTCAAATAGGAAGTGGCCTAACTGTTCACAAAGTGCAGGCAAGCTCCAGAGTTTCAGGCATCTCATTATTATTTTTAATGTGTGACTTGGCAAACGAACCCTGTGCATCATATGAAATCTTAGTGCTTTAACTCAGTCCCACACTGACTCATTTGGTTTACGCAGATGGCCCAAGGCGGCAGAGCCCCTTCACAAAGAAGTCAGCTCCCATACTCCCAAATGACTGCAGCTTGCCGCTACCCTTTTTATATATACACAAATATAATATAATACAATATAATATAATATAATGTAATATAATATAATATATTATATATACATATAATATTTATAATATTATGATGTAATACAATATAATACTAATAATAATATGATATTATAATTATATATTTTATATTATATGTAATATTACTAATAATATTACGATATAATGGTATAGTACAATATAGTAATATATAATACTGATTTGAACTATGCTAATAATATAATATATTGTATGTATATATATCTTGTAAGCTGCTCTGAGTCCCCTTCAGGGTGAGAAGGGCGGCATATAAATGTTGCAAATAAATAAATAAATGCAGGCTTTGGTATCTGTGGCCCACAGTACAAATTAGTAAACAAACATCATTCAAGCATTAGGATTTCAAATTTCACTGTGCTTCAGCCCTTTTGTCGAAACATTTCGCCATAGAGAAGTAAGCATTCCACTTCAGATATCAAACAGACTATTAGCATTCAAATTGATTTGCAAGATAAAATCACTGATTCAATGTCACAGCAAAATCCATCAGAAAAAGGAGGTGTTGTTTTATAGCCTCTACTAGTTAGAAAAGAGGATTATTACCATATCCAGTAAGTGCATATCACTGTTTTTGACATTTCGACCTGGACTCAGCAGCATCCCAAAGCACCTGTAAATGATATTTTAACAATACACAGAAGAAAATGTAAGTATTTAATAACGATGATATAAACGTTGTATCCCTAATTTTTCATCTAAATAGGAGAATTGCAGGCTGTGCTGGTGCTACTGGCATAACGTATAAGATATCTGCCCAGAGGTAGCCATAGTCATCCTGGTGTATAAACTAAACCAGCAAAAGGAGAGAGAGAGAACAATCACATTGACTCGGTACTATCAACCACATTGTCCTTATGGATTATTTATCAGATTTGTGGAACAATAACATTATATCTAAACAGTTCAACAAAAATCTCTGCAAATGCATGTGATATACCGTACAATTATCACAATGAAAAAAGTACCTTTACTAGCTTTCAGTGTTTCCAGGAACAAAAAGGTATTGATTCTGAATTCTTCTTTCAGCTTCCACAAAGGACACTTTTTAGCAATCCTAATTTTTAAAGGTTTGGTGGATGATGACCAGTAATAGGCACTACATGAAGTTTAATTTATTGATGTTAGGTTTAATTTACTGATGTTAGGCTTTAATTTTATGTTAGGTTCTAATTTTATTTTCATATGCAGGGTTTCTCTGGGATTTTATGTCAGTATTTGTTTGTTTTATGAAGCACTGAATGTTTGCAATGGTTATGTCAGAATCTGCCCTAGGTCCCCTCTGGGAGATAGGGTGGAATACAAATAAAGTTAATAATAATAATAATAATAATAATAATAATATATTAACATACAATCAGGAATACTCTCTTAGTACCACCATGGCACTTTACTTACCAGGACAAAAATTTTGTATGTATGTATGTATACCTTATTAGTACTAAAATATTATTATATTGATGGCATTCTTTGGTGGTGATTTTTTATGTTTTATTGTTTGTCTTACAGATATGCAAGTTTCTCATAATTCCAGTGACCTAAAACTTTTCCCATCGATTTAAGAATTCTGCTAAAATATAATAATAATAATAATAATAATAATAATAATAATAATAACAATAATAATAGTAACGACTTTATTTATACCCTGCCACCATCTCCCCGAAGGGACTCGGTGTAGCTCACAAAAGCACTCAACACAAAAAATATAACAAGTGCATAAACAATAACACAATAGCAATAACAGATAATATAGAAACATATGCCAAAATTTTCTCTCTCTCTCTCTCTCTATACACACACACACACATAAGCTACACTGCCATTCTTATAGAAATTTGCTAGCTTTCCTAGCAAAGATCTAATGCAAAGATTGCCATCTAGGGGAGTTGCTTCCAAAATATATTTTGAAGTCAACTTGATTCTTTTTCCACTGAAAAACTCTTAAATAAATGATTCTCCAGACATTTCTTTTAAAACTGGGAGGAGGATTACTTTTTTTAAGTGGCTGAAGGTTGTGGCCAGTTTTGAATATATCTGAGGGATTTCTTTTACACTAACATATTTCATTGAATCTAAGGCACACCTATTTCCTGTTTAAGAGGCTTCAAAAAGGGGGTGTACCAAACATTCATGGGTGCACCTTCTTGTCATATGTTCTGCAGGAGGTATGGAAGAGATTTGGGTTGCAGCTGGGTGTTACTGGATTTAAGGAGCTAGCCTTGAGACTGATCTTTGGGAGAAAAGTATCTGTTGTTATATTTTGATGGTGGATGCTGCTAGTTTTTCCCCCAGGTCTGTTGGATTTTCGGTATCCTGACCTATCCCCTGTAATCTTGGAACCCTGGAAACTTGAACCTTTGGACTGGCTTTTGACTACGGTATAGACTTTTGATCCCTGGACTTTGTTTATTGAACTCTTGGCATTTGACCACTGGACTGGACCATTTGACTACGGTGTAGCTTTTGCTATCAGTTTTTGTTTATTCTGTGGCTGAGTGCTATCTTTGTGTTTTATATTTTGGTCTATTAAAACAGCCAGCAAGTAAGTGCTGTTTTAATTATACTGTTTGATAAAACTGGGAATTTGGTTCATCTCTACCTAAATAAGGCAGAGCCCTGGCAATGTGACACTTCTATTCACCATTTTTCCATTGTCCTGTGCTTTGCCACTAGCATGACATGTTTTAGTTCCTAGTGGGAAAGCCATCTCCAACCCTCTCTCATGAGTCCACTTTTGAGCAAAGCATTGAACAGAGTTCTCAAAGCTGTATTTCATTCGTTGTGACTCCTCACTGCACCTCAAAATGTCAAAAAGCCATATTCAAAAAACGCACTTTGACTATACATGTATAATGACCTATAATCCAAAACCTTGTGTTGATGTGGTATGAGTACTAGTCTGTTGTACTAGTAAAAATTTAATTAAATAACCACCATACCCTCCACTGAGGGCCTTAGCCCCACCTATGAGCTATATACTCGAAGGGGAGTGGGCGGGGCCAAGGCCGGGGAAAAATGTTTTTTTTTCTTTCTAGAAGGTTCTGAGGCTGGTCTGCGCAGGCGCAGGAAAAAACCATATGTGCAATTCACAGTTGACCACGACAAGGAATACATATGTACATAAATAAGCCATGTGCAGGTCAGCAATACCAATCACCAGTTCTTTCAGGAAGGGAATCTATTTGAGCTGGTCAGATTTCATGCCTCCACCCATGGCCATAAACCCATTACACAAACTTTTGCTTTGGATTTAATTACTAGAAACTGTTACATTATATTGTATATAATTTTTAAGGGTTTGAGTTGCTTTAGCTCCTGAGATAAAAACAGGGAATAAATAAATATTATAATAACAATAACAACTACAGCAGACAACTTGGGGCTCTTCCACACAGCCATATAACCCAGGATATCAAGGTGGAAAACCCCACAATATTTGCTTTGAAATTGGTTATCTGAGTCTACACTGCCAGAAAAACAGAAAATGTGGGATTTTATTCAGCTGTGTGGAAGGGACCTTAGTGTTTGGTTCAAATGGTTGCAATTGATAGAAGGGGCTGGGAAGGCTCTGGAAATCCAGGTTCACTATGGGTGAACAAAGGTCCTATTGACGTGGATCCTAGCTCTTTGGAGAATTCTGCCTGAGCCATGCTTACACACCTTTTTCACAGAATAGGCACTCTTGTCGGTTCCCATGATGACCTTTGCTACTCTGCCTTGAAAGACCCTCACAACTGGACTGGCTAACATCCAAGCCTGTTCATATGTGAATTTACTCAGCCATCCAGGATAGCCTTTAACCTGCAGGCTCCAGCAAGACACAGTCCTTTAAACATTAACCTGGCCCCACACTACTGCAGGCTTTAATCTAGCACTCAAATTCAGGTCCAGAAACAAAACTGGTAGCCAAAGTAGGCTTGTAGTCTATACAATTTCACAAGGAGATATAGACAAGCATTTCCACACTTATGATTTATATCATTACCTTTCAATGACTAATTCCTTGTTGGAAATCTGTCGTATAGTAATCACAACCTTCTTCTCGAGCCCCTGCTTGAGTTTGAAAAAATATTTGTCTCTGTCCTTTGGTACTGGGCTAAATAGGAATGAATTCCATTAGAACATACTTAATATTCAGTCAATCAAGAACATACACAATAACTAGGGGCTTTCCTAAAAGTACATTCAAATTCACTCAAATCTGACAAATCCCAGTTTTAATTGTGTGTTGTCTTACTGTTAATGTTGCATATCTTATTGTCCATGTTTTTTTTTAATTTTAATTGCTTGTATTGTTGTTATTATTGCGTGTATTGTTGTATTTGGGCTCAGCCTCATATAAGCCGCACCGAGTCCCTTGGGGAGATGGTAGCAGGGTACAAATAAAGTGTTGTTATTGTTGTTATTATTATTATTATTATTATTATTATTATTATTATTATTATTATGTGGCTCTTAATGAGACATGCCACATTATCACGGGGTGTCTGCGCCCTATACCACTGGAGAAATTACACTGTTTAGCTGATATTGCACTACCTGACATCCGCTGGGAAGTAGCAGCCAATAGCAAAAGGACCAAGGCAGTGACATCTCCAACTCATCCCGTTTGGGTATCAGCCAGCACGCCAACGACTTAAATCAAGAAATAGTTTTCTAAGATCTACAGAGACACTCACTGGAACACCTCAGCAATCGAGAGTCCAAAGGTGGCAGGCTCAATCCTGGAACCCCAATTAATGGCTGATACCAAATGAGGGACTCCCCCCTGGACACAAAGAAAACTGGGCGATTTGGAAGGCATTGAACAGATTGCGCTCTGGCACCATGAGATGCACAGTCAACCTTAAGAAATGGGGCTACAAAGTGGAATCCACAACATGCGAGTGTGGAGAAGAGCAAACCACAGACCATTTGCTGCAATGCAACCTGAGCCCTGCCACATGCACAATGGAGGACCTTCTTATAGTAACACCAGAGCCACTCCAAGTGGCCAGATACTGGTCAAAGGGCGTTTAATCAACTACCAAGCTTGCAAACTTTGTGTTTTGTTTGTTTGTTTAAAAAATGCAATACAACTGTTTGGTTTGCTCCTGACATGATAAATAAATAAATCATATAATTAACGCTTTTACACACTAATATCAATTAGATTCTATTGATATCAGTGTGTAAATGCATTAATTATTCTATTGGCCTCGTTTAAAAAACCTACATGTGACAGAGAAAAAATTCTGAATTCAACACAAAAAAACTCTATAAGAATGACCTAAAATTATATCTGATGAAAAATACTTGTTGATTTGTGTAGTCTGCAAGCCACAATTCACCCACCCTTACTTTAAAATGCAATCCAGCCTTCCACAGGAGGAAAGAAAAATGCAAAAGTGGAAAAATCATGACTATTTTACATTGCTAGTCTCAGTTTAGTATATGTTTCTATCTGGTGAAGATCCTGAGCAATCTTCTACATCTGTCTTGCCATTTCATAGCACAGCTGACTTTGTAGACCCTTAGAGGTAGGTCTGATTCTTAGAGCACCGAAAGTGGCTGGAGATAAGGGGAGCAACCATGGCAAGAGTGAGTGGAGAAGCAGGAATACTCAGTGGTTTTTAGTTTTAGATTTCCTAATCCCATTTAATTATTGATTTAAAAAATTCACAAAGAATACAAAATTTAATACACAAGCAGATAATCTGGCATCGGATCCTGGGATATAGGACAGTATAGATCCAGCCAAGATGAGCAAAATACTTTTAATTGCCTGGGTTAAAATTTCCCCACAAATTAATTTCTTCACTCCATTCATTTACCTGAAGTTTCCTTTGCCATCATCTTCTCTGATCTCTAAAGAAACATTGAATGTGAATATATCATTATCAGGTGTTGGCACAAAAGAATCCTTTATGTAATCGGACCCTTGTTTGGAGGAACGTTTGAATGCTGTTGAGAAACTATACAAAATTCGGCTGACCTGAAAGATGGAGAGAAAGGAGAGAAGAAAATTGAGATGAAAATAGGGAAGCATAGAAAAAAACCAGATATTTATTGTAAAATAGAATCAGAGAATCAGAGTTGGAAGAGACCACACAAACAATCCAGTCCAACCTCATTCTGCAATGTGGGAAAAACACGATCAAAGCACCCCCGACAGATGGCCATCTAACCTCTGTTGAAAAGTTTACAAAAAAGGAACCTCCATGCTTGAAATATAATTATGAGTCTTAATAGTGATTTTAAATAAATATGCAGAATAACTGTTTTCACCCCCAAAAATACTTTTATTGACAGGACAAAACCTGCAATCTCTTAACAGTGCCAACCCTAACAAGCTAATGTTTGTCCACAAAATATAACAGGCTAGACATAGCGGAACTATACATGGCTTTAAAAAAAATCCTGACAACCTGGAATATAATCAAGCCCACTTATAACACAGATAAATCTGGCATTATTGGAATCTTTAAATAACAACCTACATTTAGGTTGCATCCCTAAGCACTCATATTGGAATCTAATACTACTAGTCTTATTCTTACGTACAGTATATGTTCAGGCAATTTCCAGGTGAGAAACAAGATAACTTCTGTAGGCTTGTTCTTAAGTTGAATTTGTATGGAAGCCAGAACAGGTTTTTTTTTTAGTTTTGGACAGCACAGGCAAGGTTTAACACCCTTGTAATGTTTGTTTTGCTGTCTGTGTCACTGATTTCACTTCCATGTGTTGCCGAAGGCTTTCATGGCTGGAATCACAGGGTTGCTGTGAGTTGTCTGGCCATGTTCCAGAAGCATTCTCGCCTGATATTTCACCTATATCTATGGCAGGCATCCTCAGAGATTGTGAGGTCTGCTGGAAACTAGGCAAGTGGGGTTTATACATCTGTGGAATGTCCAGGGTGGAAGAAAGAAGTTTTGTCTGCTTGAGGCAAGTGTGAATATTGCAATTGGCCAGCTTATTTAGCATTGAATGGCATTACAGCTTCAAAACCCAGTTTACCTGTCCGAACGTATTCTCCCCTATGAACCATCAAGGACATTAAGATCTTCCGAAGAGGCCCTGCTCTCAGTCCCACCACCTTTGCAAGCGCATTTGGTGGGAACGAGAGACAGGGCCTTCTCTGTGGTGGCCCCTCGGCTATGGAACTCTCTCCCGAGCGAGATTAGATCTGCCCACTCCCTCTTGTCCTTCAGGAGGCTAGTGAAATTCTGGTTATGGAACGAAGCATTCCCAGAATAATGGCTGAAACTGATTACAGACCAAAGTGAGTGACCACATATGCAGATCAAGCTGAACATGATTTTACCTTGGCGATTTGGTATATATGTATTTTATCTATATGTATTTTAATCTTGTATTGTTGTATGATGTTTTAACTTGTATTAGTAGCATTGAATCCTTGCTGTAAGGCAGTCTGAGTCCCTCTACGGAGGTGAGAAGATCGGGATATAAAAGTTTTAAATAAATAAATAATAAATAAAGCCTGGCTGCTTCCTGCTTGAGGGAATCCTTTGTTAGGAGATATTAGCTGGCCCTGGTTGTTTCTTGACTGGAATTCCGCTGTTTTCTGAGTGTTGTTCTTTACTTGCTGTCCGATTTTAGATTTTTTTATTAGTGGTAGCCAGATTTTGTTCCTTTTCATGGTTTCCTCCTTTCTGTTAAAACTGTCAAAAATGCTTGTGGATTTCAATGGCTTTTCTGTGTAGTCTGACATGGTGGTTGTTAGAGTTGTCCAGCATTTCTGTGTTCTCAGTCTATAGGAGTCTACTGTGCACTGTATTATGAGTATTCCTTGCCTAAGAATGCCCTATGAAATTAATGGGGTCACCCTAAGTCATCAGGTGACTTGAAGACACATACACAAAAATTCATTACAGTTAATCATATAAATTACCTGGCAAATCTGAAATGTCAAAAATACACTACATAGAATGAGTGGTGTTGAACTGCAAATTATATTCTCCTCAGATCCTTGTCTATTGAAGCTAAGAAACATTTAACACAGCCTACATCTATTACTAGAATATTGTTATGAAGCGGTCTTCACTGTTCTTAATGTTACACCATTCATAGCAGGAGAAAAGTCCTGATAAGTGAATTAATTAGATAATGATTATCACACTGTTCATAATTTCTGCAGTGTTTTAGGAAAACCGAGAGAGTTTGGAACATGCGCTAGTGCTTTTCGAAGGACACGCTTCTTTGCTCAAATATCAGTTTTCAATTCTACCACCTTGATAAAAATGTGCACTGAATGCAGAAGGTTGTGAACGGCCTGGGCCACCACAGTCTTGGCAGTATCCCCATGCTGCAAATGGGCAGCTTCAATGATGATGATGATGATGATGATGATGATCTTTATTTATACCCCACCACCATCTCCCCGATGGGAACTCGGGGTGGCTTACATGAGGCCGAGACCAAACAACAAATGACAACAGAGTAAAACCAAAAACACAAACCGAAAACGCAAACAATAAACAACATCATAATTACATAAAAACATGTGAATACATAACAATATAAAATTACAATAAGCACAAACACAAGCCACACATCTTCAATCAACATGGTGGCCATGTTACCAATGGCTGAGGATAAAGACCCATTCAAGTTTTAACCAAGGCTGAGCTTGATTAACTTCCAAAATCAGACAAAATTTGGTGCCTTTAGGATATTTTACCCCATCTATAATGTTACATCTGGCAGTAATTCCACTCCCATTGTCCTTATAGCACCCGTCACACTATTTTCTTTAGAACTGCAAATTACAAAAACTGGTATGGTGATATCATGATGGACTAAAATGTTGTCAGTTAAGGTGTTCCCTGCCCTAAATGATATGCAATTTTAAATTAAGATTTTAAGAACTGTAAATTCTGCATAAAATTGAATGCAACATTAAGTTGACATGAAATACCAGAAATGTTCAAAACATTTATGATGTAGCCATTGGAAAACTAAAAATATTTCTACTTACTGCCTCTTTTATTTCACAACAGAAGACGTGAATCTGGAATACATCAGGGCCAGAGAAGCTCTCAGTGAATGCAAAGCAGTCACATTCCAAAGTCCCATTTTGGCCCCGAACACAGAACAACACATTGTAGATCGGAAAGGAAGCAATTTCTTTATTACTGGACTGATCTATTATTCTAAATGGGATGGGAAAAATGAGAAGGAAGACCTTGTTTAAAAAATATCAAACAGAAACATCTATTTATCAAGCTGATAAGGAGAGAAACCATCTTTATACAACCAAAATGTCATGGAATGGGCTTAAATAGTAAGCCTTCTGAAATATTAAAAAATCTAGACTGTCCTATCACAACTGGACCAACACTGACCTGAGGGAGATTTTTGCGGAAAAAGTGTGATAAATCAACATACACTCAACCCATCTTTCAACAGACTGCGAAATTGAGTTGAAGCTCTATTACCAACATCCAAATATATAATCTGTGACCTCTAAAAACATAGCTACATTAAGACAATTCCTCAACAAAAATGGCAAGGGGTTTCCTATGGCCAACCTCACTTATGGCAGTTCTAGAAGTTCCCATTTCTACAAGGACTGGACTTTTAGAATAGAGACTGATTATAGAGGACTAAAATCTGTCTGTGCCACAAAGAAATATCCTATTCTGTTGGATCAAAGATTTGTTGGCATAATTAGAAACGGGGAAGATATTTACCTTTCTGTATAAAAATCAGAGGAGGACATGGGTACAAAAATGTTTTTAATTATCATCTAGGATCATTTCAATCCTTGGTGATGCCTTTTGTGTCTAGGGAAGGATTGGGGCATGAGTATTTATGCATGTAATCCATAATGTCCTAAGAAATTCTGTACCAAGGAGTTCTGGTTTATCTGGACGACATATTGATTTATTTACAAGACTGTGGATCACATGTTAAATTAGTTTGGAGTATTCTTTTAAAAAGTTAGACCACCAGTTTACGTAAAGCTGTCTAAATGTGAGTTTTGCAAGGATAAGTACTTGAGGTACCACATTTATCACTGATGGTATTGAAACAGACCCAGCCAAAGTACAGGCTTTGATGGGAAGCTCTGCAAACCTGAAAAAAATGGAAAGTTTCCTAGGGTTTGCTAATTTTTACAGGCAATTCATTCCCAATTTTGTTCAAGGAGTGCTGCAGATAACTGATTTAAGACCAAAACAAAAAACAAAAAACCAGTAAAGGAGAACAAATAACATTAGTGCTAAAGTGAAATGGGTCTCTGAGTGCCAAAAGGCCAGCATGGTTAAAATGTCAGAAGAAAGTTTGAATTGTCTTGACCCCAATGAAGCAACCAAGTTGGCCCACCCACAACTAGTAGGCAAAGCCTAAGGCATGGAAGGGATTTGAAGCCCCCCATGAAGGAGACGCGAAAACTGATTTAATTAAGTCTATATAAAATATAGAATGAACCATACTATTTAAATTATTTTGTGTTATGGGGCTACTTTTTATGATTCACTAAAAAAAAATTCAACCCCCCCACCCGAATTCTTTTTCTGGCTATAGTCCTGCTTTCACATGTACTGTTTTCAAGCCAGTTGTCACCCTTCCTATAGTTGTGCATTTCATTTTTATTGCCTAAGTGTAGTATTCTGTCTTTCTTCCTATTGAAATTCATTTTGATAATTTTGGCCCAGCTCTCTAAATCTGTTAAGATCATTTTGGATTGTGATCCTTCTCCTCAGGAGTATTAGCTATCCCTTCCGGTTTGGTGTCATCTACAAACTTGATATACCTGCTCTTTAAACCTTCATCCAAGTCATTCATAAAGATGTTAAACAGCACTAGACCCTTCATCACTCCACTAGTCACTTCTTTCCAGAATTAAGAAGAGCACTCATTGGGTTTGGTCACTTAACTAATTCCCAATCCACCTAACAGTAGTGTTGCCCACCCCACATATTACTAGTTAATTTGCAAGAAGATTATGGGGGTCCTTGTCAATGGCCTTGCTGAAATCAAGATATGCTACATCCACAGCATTCCCTTCATCTACCGAGCTTGCTTGTAAGTTTCTTGGACAAATAAGTACAAGTACAAATAAGTCACTTTCCACTTTTTTGCAGTAACATGGCCACCATTACCACACCACTGGCATCTACTTGCATAACAAATGTTTCCACTGTATCAGCCATTGCTGCAAGTAACAACTGTGAACAAATTGTCAAAATTTGCTTGAGATAGTGATTGTAGTTCTGGAGGGACACATTTATTTTTTGCTTCTCATAGATTTAGCAGCATACGGATATAGTTCACCAGTTAAAATTCATGAGTAAACCAGTTTTTTTTAACCTATAAAATTCCAGAGGGGGTTTGAACCCCTACCCCCCCCCCCCCCCGGCTACAACTGCAACATGCTCTATGTGGGGATGCCCTTAAAGACTGCTCAGATGCTTCAACTGGTGCAAAGATCAGCTGCCAGGTTATCAACAGGAACACCATACAGGGAGAGAGCAACTTCCACATTACGGCAGCTCCACTGACTCTCAATCTGCTACCGGGTAAAATTTAAAGTGCTAGCCATTACCTTTAAAGCCCTAAGTGGTTCAGGTTCAGACTACCTAACCAACTGCCTATCCTCATATGAACCTGACCAGACACTACGATAATCAGGAGAGGCCCTCCTCTCAACCCCATCCTTCTCTGCAATTGCCCCCCCGCCGCCCCCCGCCGCCGCCGCCTCTGGAATTCTCTCCTGAAAGAGATCAGAAAAGCCCCATCACTGTCCTCTTTCAGGAAACAACTGAAAAGCATATAATGAAATTAAAGATTGAATCCTTATAAAATGTGGAATGGTTTATGAAAACGGGTTTTAAATTTCCTCTTTACTAATGTCGTTTTAATGTGTTTTATAGGATGGTTATTATTGCTTTTATAACTATTTGTTTTATACTATTTAAATTGTATTTTATTTAAATTGAACTACTTATTTATTACAGTACAAGGCAATGAATATTTGCCTTTTCACGTCTGTAAGTCCCAATGAGGGAATGAGGTGGGATATAAATAAAGATTTATTGTTGTTGTTTTTTTTCTTTATATTACGTGTTGTAATTGCCATTTTGTATTTTTAAACTGTAATTCTTTCTTGAGGTTTCTGTTTTAACTATGGATAGTTATTAATAACTATAGTTTAATAATTACAGCCTCTTTGTTCAAGGAAAGCAAGCTGGACTCAGGGGACATGTGCTGTTCCAAGCCTAACACTTTTTCCCCTTTTAGTTCCAGTCTTTGAGGTGGAAGTGTATATGCTGTCTATTTTGGTACACTGTAGTTAAAAACATAGATGAAGGTATACATGTTATTAAATTAAATTCAAAGCTCACCTAACAGAACCATCTGGAATATTTGGAACGTACAGAGTTACAGGGAAAGGTGATTCACTTGAGGTTTTCAAAGCTGCCATGGCAGACAAGGCCTCTGATTCACTGCGAGGAGCAGAAACTTTCATACAACCAAGGTAGGTCAGTTTGTTGAACAACACACTATCCTCTTCTGAAAGAACAACAAAGGAACAAAATAATTGTGACAAAACATCTGGAAGTCAATAGCATTCAAGCGTTATCAAATGACCATGCTTTTTCTTACAGTCATTCATACATAATGACATAAGATTAACACATTTAAGTCACCCTGAAGTCTACTGTCCTAATAGTTGCAGGTAGTCAGCATTGTGGCTTGCTACTGACAAAGTCTCCACTGGTTTACAAAACTTCATAAGCAGAAAATTAAGATTTTTTTTGCCCCAAACAGCCTTAAATAAATTGCATGCTTAAAGTACTGTCGGTTACCCTATTTCCAATATGTCATTGCAATTGCCAAGATCAGTGAAGTGAGTATTCACGCACTTTTTTTAACTGTGTCAACATGGATTTGAGAAACTGCAAGTCACTTCTGGTGTGAGAGAATTGGCCATCTGCAGAGACATTGCCCAGGGGATGCCCGAATGTGTTACCATCCTGTGGGAGGTTTCTCTCATGTCCCCACATGAGAAGCTAGAGCTGACAGACAGGAGCTCACCCTATCTCAAGGATTATTACTGCATGTATTATTTTACTCTATTATTATTATATTATGTTACTCTCTTTATTCTTATTGGAAGGATACATAAGCACATTTACGTTAAAGAAGGTTAGAATCAGAGTTGGACAGTCTTATCTTAAATTATGTAAATATTCAAAAACATTTAACCTTCTGATGCCTCAATTAATGTAATTTTGTTGGTATCTGTTTTTATTTTGAAACTGACCAGTAGCTGCTGTATTTCCCACCCTAGGCTTATACTCGAGTCAATACATTTTCCCAGTTTTTGTGGTAAAATTAGGTGCCTCGGTTTATATTCAGGTCGGCTTATACTCAAGTATATACGGTATTTTTATTGAGTTTGTTCTGAAATTAGGTTGTGTCTTACAATCAATGGTATTTTTCAGTGGTAAAAATACAGAAATTGAGAATATTTAATGAATGTTTCTATGCCACCTTGTATTTCCCATTACATACACAATACGATTAAATACCAGTATATACATACTCTATATGACTATTTTAAAAGAACAGCAATATAACACTAACTTAAAATAATATAAAATAAGGCATGATGAGAATTCCAGCATTCACAAAAAAGGGGGGTTTTGCAACCTCATATTCTGTTTTGAAGAAAATGTCAATTGCTACAAGCTTCTTCATCATGCACAGATAGCAATACCGTTGCTCCATCAGTTAAGATACTGCAGTTTGCACCCCAAAAAGCACAATTTGAGCAAACATTCCCCTACAAGTAAAAGCAACTCCTCCCACCCCCACGCACAAAATCTTCCGAAAATGCTCCAAATCCACACCGAATGTAACATAACTCCACAGATAAACAAGTTATTTTTTGCTCTTGTATACAGGGACACAATAACGTTTCCATCCCTTCTTTGAGTCACAACTAATTTTCCATAGTTATTTTTAAAAAACCTAAACCAGTACCTGTGTTGGAAGGATTAAGCTGAAGTTTCATAAAAGACTGGCTGGCAGATACATCTCTAAAAGGCTGGCTACAATCTCCTTTCTCATCCACACAGTCAGAAGCGTTGCACTTCTGGTCTTTGTCAGAATCCTTTGGACTCTCCTCCATGGCTGCTTTCTCCATTTGTTCAGCTTCATTTGAAAACATCTGTTTAAAAAGGAGGAATACGCTAACATTTTTCAATAAAATTCCTAAATGCAATTCATTTACAGAGAAAGGGCACTTTTAAACTTTTAGTATTTGAAAATGTGCTTCATCTAAACTGAATCAAACACACACTAGCAAAACATTATGCTTAATCGGTATTCATAGTGTTATGACAATAACAATAATGCAAAGCTGCAGATAAAGAGTTTAGTAATCCGTTCGGATTCATCAGAGTTAGATTTACAGGATAATCCTAATCATGTTTACCTCCATGGAGTTCAATAGGCTTACTTCTTAGTCCGCCTGCTTAGAATGGCAACATTTAAGTATTGCAGAATCCTACAGAGATCACTGTAGAAGCATAACCACGCTGTTTCTGCTAAATAAAGCCACAGCCACTTCAATTGTATTGCAAATATATATCTTTCATGCTTGGTTTTGTGACAGGAAGTAACCTTGTCAAGTCAGTTAAAAATGCAGTTTGTAAAGCATGTCCTAGCACCTTGCAGAAAGACTTCCTTCTGTTAATAGAATTTTCTGCACAACCTGTCTCTGAATACAAGTAAACAAAGAAAAAAACACTGAATAATTTAATACTTGCTACCCAGTTTAATCATAACTTTAAAATATTTTTGATTTTCCAAAAAGTAGTCTTATTTTTTAAAAGTTGTAAGTATTTTTGTGCCTAAGTCTAAAACAATTTTCTTAAACTGTGGGTCCTGACCCCAAATGGGGTCCCCTTAGCTCAATATTGAGGTCCCAAAAAATTTGGCAATATTAAAAGCTTTCTGAATGCCACCTCGAAATTGTTTTAGACGTTTACACAAATCTGTTGTGCAGTGTTTACAGTGGACTCTGGAGAAGATGAGTCAGCTCTACTTCATAAAAAGGAAAATCACCCTGTTTAGCAAGCCTTGCAAATGCTGATTTCATATTAGTAAATGCTTGATTTTTCTACCTAGTTTAAGTACCTGGCAATGCCCAGGTTAGGGATTTTGTAAGGATAAACATTCGAAGTCGTTTTCAGTTTTATGAATGGACCCATTAGAAAAGGCATAAGGATTTGGGTAAAAAACGGGCCCTTCCACACAGCCCCATATCCCAGAATATCAAGGCAGATAATCCCACATTATCTGAGTGTGGACTCAGATAACCCAGTTCAAAGCAGATATTGTGAGATTTTCTGCCTTGATATTCTGGGATATAGGACTGCGTGGAAGGGCCATCCAACTTAAACATAAAATCAATTCAACATAGAATCATAGAGTTGGAAAGAGACCTCATGGGCCATCCAGTCCAACCCCCTGCAAGAAAATTGCATTCAAAGGGTTATCTGAGTCCACAATGCCATATATTCCAATTGAAAGCAGATTATGTGGAATTTTATTCAACTTTGTGGAAGGGGCCTTAATCTACACTGCTTTATATCCCAGGATCTGATTCCAGATTATCTGTTTATCTGGCAGTGTAGCCTCGTGTAAGCCTGTTCAAAGCAGATAATCTGGGAACAGATTCTGGGATATAGGGCAGTGTAGATCCTGCCAGATTTGTGTAAACGGAGAGCATTCAGAAATATTTTACTGTTGCCAAATTTTTGTGAACACCAATGTCGAGCAATTTTTTAATTACTGATCTATTATTCTAAATGGGATGGGAAAAATGAAAAGACTTTGATTAATTCAGGCCCCTCCTATACTGTCACATAAAATCCAGATTATCTGCTTTGAATTGGATTACATGGCATTTTAGACTCAGATAATCATGTTCAAAGCAGATTATGTGGATTTTCCGCTTTGATAATCTGGATTATACGGCAGTATATAAAGGGCCTGGATTTTATGGCAGTGTAGACTCAGAAAACCAGTTCAAGGCAGATAATGTGGATTATCTGCCTTGATATTCTGGATTATATGACAGTGTAGAAAGGCCCCAAAATGATAAGGTGAGAAACCATCCTTATACATTCAAAATTCCATAGGTTTATATAGTAAGACTCGTGAAATATTAAGAAATCTACCCTGTCCTATCACAACTAGCTACTTCATCACAGTAGAGAATGGATACACTTTAAATCCAGTTTCTGCCTCCTGTATTATTATGGGGTTTGTAGTTTAGTGAGGCTGTTAAAATGTCCTATCACAATATTATTATTATTATTATTTGAGGTATTTATATACCGCCCTTCTCAACCCCGAAGAGGACTTAGGGTGGTTCACAGCAAACCTAAGGGAGATTTTTGCCGAAAAAGGAGTGTGATAAATCAACCTCCACATACCCCATCATTGGACAGACTGTGGAATTGAGTTGAAGCTCTATTAACAACATCCAAAATATATACCCTGTGACCTCTCAAAACATTTGTGTGCACTTCCATTGGTAGGAACTGGATTATATGGCTGTGTAGACTCAAAAACTCCCGATCAAAACTGATAATGTGGATGATCTGTCTCAATATTCTGGATTATATGGCAGTGTAGAAGGGCCCCAAAATGATAAGGAGAGAAACTATCCGTATACATCTCAAAATGCATAGGCTTATATAGTAAGCCTCATAAAATATTAAGAAAACTAGACTGTCCTATCACAACTAGTTACTTCATCACATTAGACTCGCAGTGGTCCTCAACCTGTGGGTCCCCAGATGTTTTGGCCTACAACTCCCAGAAATCCCAGCCAGTTTACCAGCTGTTAGGATTTCTGGGAGTTGAAGGCCAAAAACATCTGGGGACCCCAGGTTGAGAACCACTGCGAGAGTTCATACACTTTAAATCCGGTTTGTGCCTCCTGTATTATTATGGGCTTTGTAGTTTAGTGAGGCTGTTAAAGGGTCCTCTCACAATATTCATTCATTTATTTATTTACTATATTTATATACCGCCTCTCTCAACCCAAAGGCGCCTCAAGGTGGGTTATAAATATAGTAAATAAATAAATATTGTGAAAGGACCCTTTAACAGCCTCCCTAAACTGCAAACCCCAGAATTCTGCAGGAGGCAGAAACCAGATTTAAAGTGTATTTATTCTCTAGTGTGATGAAGTAGCTAGTTGTGATACGACAGTCTCGATTTCTTAATATTTATTAAGGGTTACTATATAAGCCTATGAAATCTGGAATGTATAAAGGGTGGTTTCTCTCCTTATCGTCTTGGGGCCCCTTCTACACTGCCATATAATCCAGAATATCGAGACCATCCACATTATCAGGTTTGATCTGGATTTTCTGAGTCTACACAGCCATATAATCCAGTTCCTACCATTGGAAGTGCACATGAATGTTTTGAGAGGTCACAGGGTATATTTTAGATGTTGGTAATAGAGCTTCAACTCAATTCCACAGTCTGTTGTGATAGGGACAGGCTAGATTTCTTAATATTGTTATTTGAGGTATTTATATACCGCCCTTCCCTCAGGTTCACTGTGTACCGCCCTGAGCCCCCTTCAGGGTTGAGAAGGGAGGTATATAAATACCTCAAATAATAATTATGATGATAATAATAATATTGTGATAGGACTCTTTAACAGTGATAAATCAACCCTCCCCCCCCCCACCCAAAATAGTATATACCAGGCATGGGCGAACTTGGGCCCTCCACAGGGGCGGCTCGTCCATTACGCGAAGTAAGCGGTCGCAGAACACTTTTTTTTGCCAGGGGCGCAGAGGCGCCTCTGTAAATGCCCCTCGACCGCCACTTGAGGAGCACCCCCTCAGCTCACAACAGCCCTAGCAGTCCGGGGGGAGCCTCGGCTTTCTTGCCTCGCTGCTGGGCAATCCTCTTCCCTTGAGCCTTGCCTAGCCCCTCTCGTTCCTGCTCCACCTGGCCACCGGGTGTGCGAGCAGAGCCGGCGCTCAATCGTTCTCCATGTTTGATCCCTTCCCCATGACTTGCTCCCTTTCCTGATCCCCCGGCGCTCCACCCGCCTCCTCTCCTCTCCCCAATCCGCAGGTGGGCCAAGGGGCGGAGCCGCCACGCCTGGCCCGCTTCGGGTCCGGAGGCGTGTCTGAAGACCCCAGCGTGCGCACCAAAAGTCGCCTCTTCTCCTGACTTTCTCTTCAGCCATTGGGACCAAGAGAGAGAGAGAGAGAGAGCCCCTCCGGCTGGAGGTATCTCCCACCTCCGCTCCCTCCTTTGTTTTTGCGCCTACCTTCAGGAAAGGTGGGCATCTCCACCTCTCTCTCTCTCTCTCGGTCCCAATGGCTGAGGAGAAAGTCAGGAGAAGAGGTGACTTTTGGTGCACACGCTAGGGTCTTCAGGCACGACTCCGGACCCAAAGCAGACCAGGCAAGGGAGCAAGTGCGGCAAGTGTAGTTACTGGGATGTATAGTTCACCTACAATCAAAGAGCATTCTGAACTCCACCAATGATGGAATTGAACCAAATATGGCACACAGAACTCCCACGACAAACAGAAAATATATATCAATGATTGGTTGGGGGGGGGGGGGAATACTGTTTGCTTACCATTGAAAATTACCTCTGATTACCAACATCCAAAATATACTCTGCGACCTCTCAAAACATCCCTGCGTTAAGAGATTTTCCTCAACAACAAATTGGCGAAGAGTTCCCTATGGCCAGCCACCTCACCTAGGGCAGTTCCCATTTCTAGAGGGCCCTTCCACACAGCCATATAAACCAGAATACCAAGGCAGATAATCCACAATATCTGCTTTGAACTGGGTTATCTGAGTCCATATACTTCAGTGTAATGTGGATTCTATACAGCTGTGGGAAAGGGGCCTAAGAAGGAGTGGTCTCAAGTCAAAAGTTTGGTGGTGTTTACCTTGAAGGCCGCCCAGAGCACAAGCCACTTGACAGGATGGGCTTTCCCCTTCAGAGGGTCCTGAGAAATCAAGGCAAGGAGCCTGAGTCTTGGCCACTACATCTCCCCCGAAGCAAGGGCCCAATCCTGCCCGGCTGAGAGAGTGAGCCGAGAGAGCGGCGTCCTTCCTGCCTTCCTTCCCCGGGCAGACCCTTCTTCCCTCTGCACTTCTTCCCCGCAACTTCTCCAACTCCTTCGGGTTTGTGGCGGGATCGCCGGCGACGTCAGCGCCCCGCCCCCTCCCCTCTGCCGAAGGGGGAATGACGGCAGTGACGCCTTTTCAGGGAAGGAGACGGGCAGCGCCCCCGCCACGACATCCGCGCATGCGCACGGAGGGGCCTCAGGCAGCAAGGGCGCGCCCGGCATCCCAGGGGAGGGAGGCGGGGGGAGGGAGCGCGACTGGGAGAACAGCCCCGCTTTTAGCCCCTTCTCTCCCCCGCCCACGTTTCCGCTCTGCCTCTTTCGAGTAACTCAGCCACAGGGCAAAGGTCCCCTGCCAGCATTGACAGGCGAACTATTTCTAGATTTGTATCCTCAGGCCCTCTTCTCCGGCACCACATTTCAACAGTGGAACTCACTGCCGCGGGGCTTTTCCACACAGCCATATAACCCAGATCAAGGCAGAGAATCCCATTATATCTGCATTGAACTGGAGCCCCTTCCACACAGCTGAATAAAATCCCCCATTATCTGCTTTGAACTGGGTTATATTATTTGTTTGTTTGTTTATTTATTTAAAACATTTATATTCCGCCCTTCTCACCCCGAAGGGGGAGCTGTCTTCATAGACCTGTCAGGGGCTTATGATACTGTGAACCACCACCTCCTGAGAAAAATGTATAATATCACAAAGGATTACCACCTCACCCTCCTTATAGGAAACCTGCTACAAAACAGGAGCTTTTTTGTTGAGTTCCAGGGCCAGAGAAGCAGGTGGCGGAAACAGAAGAACGGCCTGCCTCAGGGGAGCGTGCTTGCTCCATCCATGTTCAACATCTACACAAATGACCAGCCACTGCCAGAAGGGACAGAGAGTTTCATCTATGCTGATGATCGTGCCATCACCGCTCAAGCAGGGAGCTTTGAGATGGTGAACAGAAGCTCTCCGAAGCTCTAGGTGCTCTTACTGCCTATTACAGGGAAAACCAGCTGATCCCTAATCCATCTAAAACACAGACATGTGCCGTTCATCTCAAGAACAGAAGCATCCCGAGCTCTGAAGATCACCTGGGAAGGAATCCCACTGGAGCATTGCAGCGCACCCAAATACCTGGGAGTCACTCTGGACCGTGATCTTACCTACAAGAAGCACTGCCTGAACATCAAGCAAAAAGTGGGTGCTAGAAACAATATCATACGAAATCTGACTGGCACAACCTGGGGATCACAACCAGACACAGTGAAGACATCTGCCCTTGCGCTATGCTACTCTGCTGCTGAGTATGCATGCCCAGTGTGGAACACATCTCACCATGCTAAAACAGTGGATGTGGCTCTTAATGAGACATGCCGCATTATCACGGGGTGTCTGCGCCCTACACAACTGGAGAAATTACACTGCTTAGCCGGTATTGCACCACCTGACATCCGCCGGGAAGTAGCAGCCAATAGTGAAAGGACCAAGGCAGAGACATCTCCAGCTCATCCCCTGTTTGGGTATCAGCCAGCACGTCAACGACTTAAATCTAGAAATAGTTTTCTAAGATCTACAGAGACACTCGCTGGAACACCTCAGCAAGCGAGAGTCCAAAAGTGGCAGGCTCAAACCCAGAACCTCAACCAAAGGCTGATACCAAATGAGAGACTCCCCCCTGGGCACACAGAGGACTGGGCGACTTGGAAGGCTCTGAACACACTGTGCTCTGGCACCACGAGATGCAGAGCCAATCTTAAGAAATGGGGCTACAAAGTGGAATTCATGACATGCGAGTGTGGAGAAGAGCAAACCACTGACCACCTGCTGCAATGCAACCTGAGCCCTGCCACATGCACAATGGAGGACCTTCTTGCAGCAACACCAGAAGCACTCTAAGTAGCCAGATACTGGTCAAAGGACATTTAATCAACTATCAAGCTTGCAAATTTTGTATTTTGTCTGTTTGTTTGCTTTGTTCTGTTAGAAATGTAATATAATTGACTGGTTGCCCTGACACGACAAAAAATAAATTGGGCTCTTCCACACAGCCATATAACCCAGAAGATCAAGGCAGAGAATCCCACAATATCTGCATTGAACCGGGGCCCCTTCCACACAGCTGAATAAAATCCCACATTATCTGCTTTGAACTGGATTATATGGCAATGTGTACTCGGATAACCCAGTGCAAAGCAGATATCGTGGGAATTTCTGCCTTGACATTCTATGTTTTATGGCTATGTGGAAGGCCCCTGGGTTATCTGAGTCCACACTGCCCTATATTCCAGTTCAAAGCAGATAATGCAATACAATATAATACTAGTAATAATATTATATTATAATTATACTAGCTGTCCCCTGCCACGCGTTGCTGTGACCCATTGTTGAGAAATGGGAAAGAAAGAAAAGAGGAAGAGCACTTACCCAAAATCCTTATATTTCAACTGTCACACTCAGCACTTTTAATCTGTACCCATTTACACTTGGCCCGGCCTTAGTTTTATTGTGTTATGGTGTAGTGTTTTTACTGTTTACTGTTATTGCTTTAATTGTTTTGATTTGTTTTATGGTTTATGTATATTGTTGTATTGTTTTTTTTATTGAGGCCTTGGCCTTGTAAGCCGCATCGAGTCCTTTGGGAGATGTTAGCGGGGTACAAATAAAGTTAATAAATAATGTTGTTGTTCATTCGTTCAGTCGTCTCCGACTCTTCGTGACCTCATGGACCAGCCCACGCCAGAGCTCCCTGTCAGCCGTCACCACCCCCAGCTCCTTCAAGGTCAGTCCAGTCACTTCAAGGATGCCATCCATCCATCTTGCCCTTGGTCGGCCCCTCTTCCTTTTGCCTTCCACTTTCCCCAGCATAATTGTCTTCTCTAGGCTTTCCTGTCTCCTCATGATAATATATAATATAAGAGGTGGGTTCTAAGCTATCAATACACAACGGAAGTGGCAAAGTGTCAACCTAATACAGGCCCCTTTTCAGTCTCCTTGAGGTCAAAGGGTTATATGGATGTGTGGAAGGGCCCTGGGTTACCTGAGTCCACACTGCCATATAACCCAGTTCAAAGATATTATATAAGTATTGTTGTTGTTGTTGTTGTTGTTGTTATAGACATATAGATATTATTATAGACATATAGATATTATTATTAGGTTCTTGTGGGTTTTTTCGAGCTATAGAGCCATGTTCTAGAGGCATTTCTCCTGACGTTTCGCCTGCATCTCTGAGGATGCTTGCCATAGATGCAGGCGAAACATCAGGAGGAATCACTAGTTTCTTGTGGGTTTTTTCGGGCTATATGGCCATGTTCTAGAGGCATTTCTCCTGACGTTTCGCCTGCATCTATGGCAAGCTTCCTCAGAGGTCTGCTGGAGCTGGGAAAAAGGGGTTTATATAAAAGCCTTCGACAATACATCAGGAGAAATGCCTCTAGAACAGTGGTTCTCAACCTGTGTGTCCCCAGGTGCTTTGGCCTACAACTCCCAGAAACCCTAACAGCTGGTAAACTGGCTGGGATTTTTGGGAGTTGTAGGCCAAAAACATCTGGGGACCCCAGGTTGAGAACCACTGCTCTAGACATTATATTCTAGGCCCCATCAAGTCTTATCAGCCTTGCCAACTATGTTGTACTACAGATATTATTATTATTATTATTATTATTATTATTATTATTATTATTGGCACAACTATTATTATTAAAGGTATATAGGTATTATTATTATAGATGTTATTTTTTATTTCATATAAAAAAATTATTATTTACAGTATTTATATACCGCCTTTCTCACTCCTGAGGGGACTCAAAGAATTGCATTAATTAGACCTATAGATATTATTATAGGCATATAGACATTATTATTACAGACATACAGATATTATTATAGACATGTAGATATTATTGTTATAGACATATAGATATAGACACACACACATATATATATATTATAGACTTATAGATATTATTATGATAGATATATAGATATTATTATTGTAGCTATATTACAGCCTAAGGTTCCTATAAAGTAAAAATGGATGGCCATCTTTCAGGAGTATTTTGATTGTGCCTTCCTGGACAGCCTTTTCTAACTCACAGAGCGTGCCTTTTTGTCCTTTCTTTGAATATTGGACTTCATTTCCCAGAATTCCTTCCCATAACTCAGTATGGGTGAGCTTTCTGGGCACACACACATCCCTCCCTTGTGAGTTCGCAGCAGAGGCACCTCCATGCTGGCTGCAGCAGGAAAGGAAAGGAAAGGAAGGAAAGGGATGGGGTGGATATGGAGGAGGGTGTCCTCTCTCTCCCTCCCTCCTTCCCTCCCTCCCTCTCTCTGAATCCTCCCTTCTTCCCTCCCTCCCTCTCTCTGAATCCTTTGGGAAGAGAGAGGCAGGGGGTAGCAAGAGGGATATACCGGCCACCTTTCCCTCCCTCTCTCAAGCTACCTCTCTCTCAGTTGTTGGGTTTTTTCCCCTTGTGCAGGAGGGAAGGGCGGGGGAGGGTGTTTTTTTAACGCATACTCTGTATAGTCATTTAGCTTTGTGGTGGGTTTAAGTTCTTTCCGGTTATTTTTTCGTTTTTGTTTTTTTGAGTGAAGGACATAGATTGCTTTAGTTGGTGTCTTGTGTTCAAATTTGGTGTCAATACGTCTAGTGGTTTCTGAGTTCTGTTAATCCCACAAACGAACATTACATTTTTATTTATATATATATTTATATTACATGTGATATTACTAATAATATTACATTGAGTCTCAACCAATTCAACATGGTTTGTGGCATCTACAAAAATGAAGTTTCTGGAGTGTAACAACTACTTTCAAAGTAAGTACCGCACAATTAGACAGGAAGTAACACTTTAAAACCAGGAACAATTTTTTTCAAATTTTGTTACATAGTGTAATCCTCTTCTGACAGATGGCCATCCAGCCTCTGCTTAAAATCCTCTGGAGAAGGAGACTCTACCACACTCCAAGGAGGCAGCATATTCCATGCCAAACAGCTCATTCAGTCAGGAAGTTCTTCCTAATGTTTAGGTGGAATCTCTTGTCTTGCAATTTTAATCCAAAAAAAATAAAAAAGGAAAACAAAAAAAAAAAAAAAAAATAATCCATTGCTCAATTTCCAGGTTTCCAGAGCAGCGGAAAATAGGCCTGCT